AGTTATGTAAAAAACCCCAATTGAAGTCAAAAGGCAAATGACAAAGTAGGGGAAAATATTTGCAACATGTATGGTAGATAAAGACTAGTTTCTTCTGTTTTACGCATTGACACAATACAGAAAAGAAATAAAAATGGCTGATAATGTACTTAATGGTAATTAAAGAATTGCAAATTCAATGGATGATGAAATACCGTGTTTCACCTATCAGAGTGGCAAACAGTGTAAAGATAGATGAAAACCTTACATTACAAGAGGAGGGAAAGGGACTCTTAGCAATACAGGTGAATGTATCAACCAGTCATCTTTTTAGAAACAATTAGGCATAATTAAACAAGATTGCAAATGTGTGTATCCTCTCACCCAGCAATTCTACTCCAAGGACTTTATTCTCTAGATATTTCCACATACATTGGCAAAAATACACATATTAAAATCTTCCTTACAGTATTGTTTTGCTATGGTAGACAACTGTAAACAACCTGCATTACCATTAGCAGGGACTGGTCAAGTATTTAAATACTCATATAATTATATGGTTTAAATCTATTGAAAAGATTAGAACAGATCTGTATGTGCTGATTTAGGAAGATTCTCAAGATAATATTGAATGGAAAAAACAAGGTATAGAATAGTCTATACAGTGAGATTTTACTTACATTAAAAGGAAAAGGGGCTATAAGCCTGTGTATGCATAAATATTTCTAGAAAGACTCAGAATAAACAATTACACATTATTTTCTCTGGGGAGGTGTGATAGTTTAAATATTTGAACACAAGTATACTCCTTCCTTCCTTCCTTCCTTCAAAAGATGGAAATTTATTCTCCAGGGGACTGGACTTATTGACTCACTTCTAATGAACAGAATGTGGTAGAAATGACAGTGTGTAACACCTGAAATGTATCATAAAAGTCAATGTGGCTTTCTCCTTTCTCTCTTTTTTGTTACTCTGGGAGAAGTCAGCTGACATGTCATGAGGACACTCAAGTAGCACTGGGGAGAGGTCCAAGTGCTGAAGAACTGAGCCCTCTCACCAATAGCAGTGAGGGCCTGAGACTACCTGTCAAAAGTCAGATGTATAAAATAACTTAGAAGCAGATCCTCCAGTCTCAGTCATGCATAACTTCAGACGACTGCAGCCCTGAAGATGTTGACATCTTAGCTGCAATCTCATGAAAGACCCTGGGCTCAACCACTCAGCTAAGTGCCTCATGAATTCCTCGCTCACAGAATTATAAAATAAATGTTTGTTAGTTTAAGCCATTAAGTTTTGGTGTACCTTGTAGTTAGCAACAAATAACTAATATAGAAGTAGAAGTGGTGGTAGAGATACAAACTAAAATTTTTCTAAAAAAGAAAATAAACATTTTTATTTTTCTATTCTTTCATTCAAAAAAATATTTCTATAAGTTATTGGGGAACAGTTAGTGTTTGGTTACATGAATAGGTTCTTTAGTGGTGATTTGTGAGATTTTGGTACATCTATCACCTGAGCAGTATACACTGCATCCTATTTGTAGTCTTTTATACTTTACCCCCTTCTCACCATTTCCCTTGAGTACCCAGAGTTTATTGTGTAATTCTTATGCCTTTGCATCCTCATAGCTTAGCTCCCACTTATGAGTGAGAATATGTTTGGTTTTCCATTCCTGAGTTACTTCACTTAGAATCATAGTCTCCAGTCTCATCCAGGTTGCTGCAAATGCCATTAACCCATTCCTTTTTATGACTGAGTAGTATTCCATCATATATATCACAGTTTCTTTATCCACTCATTGATTGATGGACATTTAGATTATTTCCACTTTTTTGCAATTGCAAATTGTATTGCTATAAACATGCATGTGCAAGTATCTTTTTCATATAATGAATTCTTTTCCTCTGGGTAGATACCCAGTAGTGGGATTGCTGGATCAAATGGTAGTTTTACTTTTAGTTCTATAAGGAATCATCACACTGTTTTCCATAGTGGCTGTACTAGTTTACATTCCCACCAGCAGTGTAGAAGTGTCCCTCTTCACCGCATCCACACCAACATCTACTATTTTTTGATTTTTTGATTATGGCCATTCTTGCAGGAGTAAGGCATTATGGTTTTGATTTGCATTTCCCTAATCACGAGTGATGTTGAGCATTTTTTCATGTTTGTTGGCCATTTGTATATCTTCTTTTGAGAATTATCTATTTATATCCTTTTGATGGGCTTGTTTGCTTTTTTCTAGCTGATTTGTTTGAGTTCATTGTAGATTCTGGATATTAGTCCTTTGTCAGATGTATAGATTGTGAATATTTTCTTCCACTCTGTAGGTTGTCTGTGCACTCTGCTGACTATTCATTTTGCTGTGCAAAATCTCTTTAGTTCAATTAAGTTCAAGCTATTTATTTTTTTTTTTTAACGCATTTACTTTTGGGTTCTTGGTCATGAAATCTTTGCCTAAGCCAACGTCTAGAAGGGTTTTTCCAATGTTATTTTCCAGAATGTTTATAGTTTCAGATATTAGGTTTAAGTCCTTAATCCATCTTGAGTTGATTTTTATATAAGGTGAGAGATGAGGATGCAATTTCATTCTTCTACATGTGGCTAGCCAGTTATTCCCCAGTACCATTTGTTGAAAAGGGTGTCCTTTCTCCACTTTATGTTTTTGTTTGCTTTGTTGAGGATTGGTTGGCTGTAAGTATTTGGCTTTATTTCTGGGTTCTCTATTCTGTTCCATTGGTCTATGTGCTTATGTTTATGCCAATACTATGCTGTTTTTGTGACTATGGCCTTATAGTATGGTTTGAAATCAGGTAACATGCTGCCTCTAGAATTGTTCTTTTTGCTTAGTCTTGCTTTGGCTATGTGGGCTCTTTTTTGGTTCTATATAAACTTTAGAATTGCTTTTTCTAATTCTGTGAAGAATGATGGTGGTATTTTGATGGGAATTGTGTTGAATTTGTAGATTGCTTTTGGCAGTATGATCATTTTCACAATATTGATTCTACCCATACATGAGCATGGGATGTGTTTCCATTTGTTTGTGTCATCTATGGTTTCTTTCAGCAATGTTTTGTAGTTTCCCTTGTAGAGGTCTTTTACTTCGTTGGTTAGGTAGATTCTTAGGTATTTTATTTTATTTTATTGTAGCTATTGTGAAAGGGGTTAAGTTCTTGATTGGATTCTCAGCTTGGTTGCTGTTGATGCATAGAAAAGCTACTGATTTGTGTACATTAATTTTGTATCTGGAAACTGCTGAATTGTTTTATCAGTTCTAGGAGCTTTCTGGAGGAGCCATTAAGGATTTCTAGGTAAACATTATATCATCAACGAACAGTGACAGTTTGGCTTCCTCTTTGCTGATTTGGATGCCCTTTATTTCTTTCTCTCTTCTGATTGCCCTGGATAGGAATTTCAGTATTATAGTGAAGAGGAGTGGTGAGAGTGGGCATGCTTATCTGGTTCTAGTTCTCAGAGGGAATGCTTTAAACTTTTACTCATTCAGTATTACATTGGCTATGGGCTTGTCATAGATGGCCTTTATTACATTGACATATGTCCCTTGTATGCTGATTTTGTTGAGAATTTTAATTATAAAGGGATGCTGGATTTTGTCAAATGCTTTTTCTGCATCTATTGAGAAAATTATTTGATTTTTGTTTTTAATTCTGTTTATGTGGTGTATCACATTTATTGACTTGCGTATGTTAAACCATCCCTGCATCCCTAAGATGAAACTCGCTTGATTATGGTGGATTTTTTTTTTTTTTGAGTCTGAGTCCCAATCTGTTGCCCAGGCTGGAGTGCAGTGGTGCAATTTTGGCTCACTGCAACCTCCACCTCCCGGGCTCAAGCGATTTCCCTACCTTAGCCTCCTAAGTAGGTGGGATTACAGGTGTGCACCACAATACCTGGACAATTTTTGTATTTTTAGTAGAAATGGGATTTCACCATGTTGACCAGGCTGGTCTCGATCACCTGACCTCAGGTCATCTGCCCACCTGGGCCTCCCAAAGTGCTGGGATTACAGGTGTGAGCCACCATGCCTGGCTGGATTATCTTTTTGATATGTTGTTAGCTTTGATTAGCTAGTATTTTGTTAAAGATTTTAGCATCTATGTTCATTGGGGATATTGATCTGTAGTTTTCTTTCCTGTTTATATCCTTTCCTGGTTGTGGTATTAGGATGATACTGGTTTCATAGAATAATTTAGGAAGGATTCCCTCTTTCTCTATCTTGTGGAACAGTGTCAGTAGGATTGGTACCAATTCTTTCTTGAATGTTTGGTAGAATTCTGCTGTGAATCCATCTGGTCCTGGACTTTTTTTGTTGGTATTTTAAATTAGCATTTCAATCTTACTGCTTAATATTAATCTATTCACGGTATCTAATTCTTCCTGATTTAAGATAGGAAATTTGCATCTTTCTAGGAATTTATTCATCTCTTCTAGGTTTTCTTAGTTTATGTACATAAAGATGTTCATAGTATCCTTGAATGATCTTTTATATTTCTGTGGTTTCAGTTATTATATCTCCCATTTCATTTCTTATTGAGCTTATTTGGATTTTCTCTCTTCTTTTCTTGGTTAATCTTGCTAATGGTCTATCAATTTTATTTATCTTTTTAAAGAACCAGGCTTTTGTTTCATTTATCTTCTGTATTTTTTATTTCAATTTCATTTAGTTCTGCGCTAATCTTGGTTATTTCCTTTCTTCTGCTGGGTTTGGGTTTGCTTTGTTCTTATTTCTCTAGTTCCTCCAGGTGTGACCTTAGATGATTTATTTGTGCTTTTTCAGACTTTTTGATGTAGGCATTTAGGGCTATGAAATTTCCTCTTAGCACTGCCTTTGCTGTGTTACAGAGGTTTTGATAGGTTATGTCACTATTGCCATTTAGTTTGAAGAATTTTTAAATTTTCATCTTGATTTCATTTCTGACCCAATGATCATTCAGAAACAGGTTATTTAATTTCCATGTATTTGCATGGTTTTGAATGTTTCTTTTGGAGTTGATTTCCAGTTTTATTCCACTGTGGTCTGAGAGAGTGCTTGATATAATTTAAATTTTCTTAACTTTGTCGAGGCTCATTTTGTGGTCTATCATGTGGTCTGTCTTGGAGAAAGTTCCATGTAATGTCGAATCGAATGTATATTTTGTGGTTGTTCGATGAATGTTCTGTATATATCTGTTAATTCCATTTGTTCTAGGGTATGGTTTAAATCCATTTTTTTTGTTGATTTTCTGTCTTGATGACCTCTCTAGTGCTGTCAGTGGAGTACTGGAGTTCCCCACTATTATTGTGTTGCTGCCCATATATTTCTTATGTCTATGTGTAATTGTTTTATAAATTGGGGTGCTCCAGTGTTAGATGCATATGTGTTTAGGATTGTGATGTTTTCCTGTTGGATGAGGCCTTTTATCATTATATAATGTCCCTCTGTCTTTTTTTTTTCCTTACTTGCCATTTATTTATTTATTTTTATTTTTTAAATTGCATTTTAGGTTTTGGGTTACATGTGAAGAACATGCAAGATTGTTGCATAGGTACACACATGGCAGTGTGATTTGCTGCCTTCCTCCCCTTCACCTATATCTGGCATTTCTCCCCATGCTATCTCTCTCCAACTCCCCACCCCCCGCTGTCCCTCCCTTGTTTCCCCCCAACAGACCCCAGTGTGTGATGTTCCCCTCCCTGTGTCCATGTGTTCTCATTGTTCAACACCCGCCTATGAGTAAGAACATGCAATATTTGATTTTCTGTTCTTGTGTCAGTTTGCTGAGAATGATGGTTTCCAGGTTCATCCATGTCTCTACAAAGGACACGAACTCATCATTTTTGATGGCTGCATAATATTCCATGGTGTATATGTGCCACATTTTCCCTGTCCAGTCTATCGTCGATGGGCATTTGGGTTGGTTCCAGGTCTTTGCTATTGTAAACAGTGCTGCAATGAACATTTGTGTGCATGTGTCCTTATAGTAGAATGATTTATAATCCTTTGGATATATACCCAGTAATGGGATTGCTGGGTCAAATGGAATTTCTATTTCTAGGTCCTTGAGGAATCGCCACACTGTCTTCCACAATGGTTGAACTAATTTACACTCCCACCAACAGTGTAAAATTGTTCCTATTTCTCCACATCCTCTCCAGCATCTGTTGTCTCCAGATTTTTTAATGAGTGCCATTCTAAACTGCTGTTGCTTTAAAGTTTGTTTTGTCTAATGTAAGAATAGCTATCCCTGCTTGCTTTTGGTGTCAATATGCAAGAAATGTCTTTTTCCACCTCTTTACCTTAAGTTCATGTGAGTCCTTATGTGTTAGGTGAGTCTCCTGAAGACAGCAGATAGTTGGTTGGTGAATTCTTATCCACTCTGAAATTCTGTGTCTTTTAAGTGGAGCATTTGGGGCATTTACACTCAATGTTAGCATTGAGATATGAGGTACCATTCCATTCATCGTGCTATTTGTTGACTGCATGTCTTAGTTTTTTTGCTTTTATTTTTTAAATTGTATTTTTATTTTATAGGTCCTGTGAGATTTATGCTTTAAAGAGGTCTGTTTTGATGTGTTTCCAGGATTTGTTTCAAGATTTAGAATTCATTATAGTAGCTCTTATAGTGGTGGCTTGGTAGTGGCAAATTCTCTCAGCATTTGCTTGTCTGAAAAAAACTATGTCTTTCCTTTGTATATGTACCTTAATTTTACTGGCTACAAAATTCTTGGTTGGTAATTGTTTTGTCTGAGGAGGCTGAATATAGGCCTCCAATCTCTTCTGGCTTGTAGGGTTTCTGCTGAGAAATCTGCTGTTAAATCTGATAGGTTTTTCTTTATAGGTTACCTGGTGCGTTTGTCTCACAGCTCCTAAGGTTCTTTCCTTCATCTTAACTTTAGATAACCTGATGACAATGTCCATAGGTGATGACTTTTTTGTGATAAATTTCCCAGGTGTTCTTTGTGTTTCTTGTATTTGGATGTCTACGTTTCTAGCAAGGCCAGGGAAATTTTCCTTGATTATTCCCCCAAATATGTTTTCCAAACTTTCAAATGTCTGTTCTTCCTCAGGAACACTGATTATTCTAAGTTTGATCATTTAACCTAATCCCAGACTTCTTGGAGGCTTTGTTCGTATTTTCTAATTCTTTTTTGTCTTTGTTGGATTGGGTTACTTTGAAGACCTTGTCTTCAAGCTCTGGATTTCTTTTAATTGTTCAATTCTATTGCTGAGATTTTCCAGAGAATTTTGTATTTCTATAAGTGTGTCCATTGTTTCCTGAAGTTTCTGTTGTTATTTATTTATGTTATGTGTTTCATTGAATATTTCTCCTTTCACTTCTTGTATCATTTTTAAAAATGTCTTTACATTGGGCTTTGCCTTTCTCTGATGCCTCCATGATTAGCTTAATAACTAACCTCCTGAATTTTTTTTTTCTGGTAAATCAGGGATTTTTTTCTTGGTTTGGATTCACTGCTGGTGAGCTAGTGTGATTTTTTGGGAGTTTTAAAAACCTTGTTTTGCCATATTACCAGAGTTGGTTTTCTGGTTCCTTCTCATTTGGGTAGGCTCTGTCAGAGGAAAGGTCTAGGGCTGAAGGCTGTTGTTCAGATTCTTTTGTACCATGGGATTTTCCCTTAATGTAGAACTCTCCCCCTTTTCCTGTGGTTGTGGCTTCCTGAGAGCTGAGCTGTAATGATTGTTTTCTCTATTCAGGATCTAGCAACCCAGTAAGTCTACCAGACTCTGGGCCAGTATTGGTTTTTTTTTTTTTTTGCACAGAGTACTGTAATGTGAACTGTCTGTGGGTCTCTCAGCCATGGATACCAGCACCTGTTCTGGTGGAGGTGGCAGGCAGGTGAAATGGATTCTATGAGGGTTCTTAGGTTTGGTGGTTTAATGCACTAGTTTTGTGCTTGTTGGCCTCCTCCCAGGAGGTGGCGCTTTCCAGAGCATATCAGCTGCAGTAGTGTGGGGAGGAATAGGTGGTGGACAGGGATCTAGACGTCCCAAGAGTATATGCGCTTTTTCTTCAGTTGCCAGGGTGGGTAGGGAAGGACCATTGTGTCAGGGCAGGGCTAGGCCTGTCTAAGCACAGACTCTCCTTGGGCAGGTCTTGCTGCACCTGCTGTGGAGGATGGGGATGAGGTTCCCAGGTCAATGGAGTTATGTTCCTAGGAGGATTATGCCTGTCTTTACTGTGTCATGCAGGTTGTCAGAGAGGTGAGGGGATGCTGGCTTTCACAGGTCTCACCCAGCACCCACAAAATCTGAAGGCCTGGTCCCATTTTCACTGTGCCCCCTAACCCCAACAGCACTGAGTGTGTTTCGAGGCAATGGGTGAGCAGGGCTGAGGACTTGCCCCAGGATACCTGCCTCCCAGCTATTATAGCAAGTGTGTCTTTCCTTCTTCCCCCTGCCTGTGGAGTCTGCACACCGGATTCATGCCCTCCCCTGAGTTCTGACCAGGAGACTTCTTGATCAGTTCAAATTGTTTCAAAGTTCAGCTGGAGATTTCCTTCTCCCTCTGGCCTTTTCCTGGTGCCTCTGGGAGACTTCCCAAAGGATCCCTGTGAGGCCAGGCAGAAATGGCTTTCTGGGAACCCAGCGAGCTCACAGGTCTTTCCCTGCTGCTTTCTCTACCCCTGTATTTTGCTCAGCTTTCTAAATTGACTCAGCTCCAGGTAAAGTCAGAGTCTTCTCCTGTAATCTAGACGTTCAGTTTCCCCAGCGGGGGTGTGTGTTCAGGGGCAGACAATCTCCCTTTCCCACTTCTACAGTTTGGGTACTCACAGTATTTGGTGTGTCTCCTAGGTTCTGCAGGAGTAATATGCTTCCTTCAGAGGGTTTGTAGGTCCTCTCAGTTTTCCTGATTTATTCTTGCAGTCATTCTGGAGTAAAAATTCACCATGCAAGCTTCCATATGCTACTGTACCCATCTGAGTCAGAACTGCAATTTAGTCCAGCCTCCTGTCCACTATGATCCCCTTATCTTTCTATTCTTTTATACTGTTTTCATTTTTATATTATCTGAATATATTAATTTAGAATATAAATAGTTTTCCCTCATGTCCACATCTTGAAATACCTGCTCTTCACTGCACCCAAACTAGCAAACATTAGTACACTACTATTAATTAAGTGCCAGACTTTATTCAGATTTCTTTGTTTCTTCACAAATAACATTTTTTTCCTATTCCAGAAGCCAATCTAGGGTATCATATTGCATTTAGAGCCTTTTAAAAATTATTATTTGGACATGTTTTAGAATGCCAGTTTAATTTACATATTAATGTTTTTGCTATAAATTATTGAATTTTTTCCCTGTGGCCACTCTAAGAATCATGATATATATTCTTAACTTCTCATAATAGAATTTGAGTTTACACTGTTCCACTTGGCATAAAATATACAAATCTTGCAATCATATAGATCCTCTTATACCTGCCCAAGCATTTCCTTTGTGCTATGATTGCCATATGACATTTATATACATTACACATCCTACAATGCAATCTCATAATTTTTGCCTCGAATAGTGATATATATTGGAAAGGAATTAAGCTGGAAAAGCAGTCTTTTATATTTGCTAGTCTTGATGTTCTTCATGTCTTTCTAAAGATCCATCTTTTAATTTGATATCATTTATCTTTAGCCCAAAGAACTTCCTTTAGCATTTCTTATAATACAAGTCTGTTAGTAATAAATTCTCTTAGTTTTCTTTTATTTGGAAAGTCTTTATTCTGCTTTTATATTTGTTAGATATTTTATCTGCATATTAAACTCTGGGATGACAGATCTATTTTGCTTTTAGTGCTTTGAGAATGTTGGTTCATTGTGTTGGCCTCCATTGTTTCTGATGTAAGAAATCAGCAGTCATTTGAATCACTATTTCCCTCTGTGTAATGTTCTGTTTTCGCTGCATGCTTTTGACACTTTACCATTCATTTGACTCTAATGTGCCTAGACATAGTTTTCTTTTATTTAACTTGATTGGGATTTGCTGATCTTCTTCTGTTTGTAAATTTATGTCTTTTGTCAAATTTGGGGA